AACAGCCTAAGAATATGGGGAGGGAGAGGGTAGGGGGAATGGGTGGAGGGAGGGGGATTGGAGGGATCACTTCTGTGGTTTATCTTACAAGGGTACAAGTGAATCTTTCTAAGAGTAGAATATGAACGTTTTAACACAATAACTAAGAAAATGACATGAAGGCTATTTTAACCAGTTTGTTGGAAATGGTTCAAATTATATGTAAAAATACCACACTGTACCCCAGAATTGCATTAATGTACATAGTCACCATTCAATGAAAAATAAATAAATAAATAAAATTGGCACCATGAAAACTTTAGCTGCTTTAGATAATCATTGTGACTTTAGGGGCTGGAAGGAGTCAAGAAAAGAAATGAGGAGTGAATGTAATTATTGCTGTTATTATTTGGCCTGCATGTTACCTCCCTCTCTTGTCTGTTCTAGCTCCTCAGTCAATGACTGGCCGATCTCCAAATCTATAAAATCACAATCCCAGTGACCGGGCTTTCTCTTTCCCTTTATAGATATGGGACCCACTCACATGGACTTTTTAAGAAGCTAGGAATTCCTGGGCCCACACCTCTGCCCTTTTTTGGAACTTTTCTGAACTACCACAGGGTGAGTGTCCTTTGAATTCCCTCCTTATTTCTAATGGTTGCAAACACAGAGTTAATTCATCAGTGCAAATGTCCCTCTCAAGAGGAAGTTATGGCTCAGCACCTGTGGCTCAAGTGGCTAAGGAGTTGGAGGTTGCTGTGAGCTGTGATGCCATGGCACTCTACCCAGGAAGACAGCTTGAGGCTCTGTCTCAAAAAAAAAAAAAAAAGAGAAGTTATGAAGTTTTACACTTTCAAAAATAATGTGTGGACCCTACGCATCATTGGCCAGGTTTACCTGGGACTCTCTCTGTTACTCTCAGGTTTGCCCAGCTGAATAGTCCAGATCTCTGGCAGATCAGTACTTGATGTCTGGGGCCTGATGCTCAGATTTTCTGAGCATCATACACAGGATTTTCCTTATTCCCAGTGCCAGTTCCCAGGAAGGTCCCATCATACTTAGTTAACAATAGAAGAACAGCAGAAAGTGTTGCTGTGGTAGTGGCCCATTAACCTGCACATACCAGATTCAAACTCCCATCTAGAGAGACAGCTCACAAATAGTGTATTTTTCCCCTTTCTTATCAACATCTTTGAAACTTCAGTTTATCAAGCAGCCCAATAATTCACCACCAGGTAATCTGCACCTTACTTGAAGTCTCTCAAGAACTGTTAAGTTTCCTGGAGGTATTGCCATAGCTGTAACCCCACTTTTGGTCCTCATGACATATTGGGGATTTGGGAGGCATTATAAAATAGCTCTGTTTTGCTTCTTTTCCTTCAAAGGCAGCATCTCATAGGTGAGTGTAAGCAGGAAAGAGTATAACTAAGACAACACAATGGTCGTTTTTTGACTGAGATCTTAAGCTAAATATGCATTTTGGTTTGATTTTTTGTTTGTTTGTTTGTTTTTTACCAAAGGCAGACTCCACTAATAAAATCTCTAGAATAGCTGAAGATTTGATGAATTTATCAACAATTTAACTTAAGTGAATGAAATGACATTTACCACACTGGGCATTTTGACCAGCCCAGAATGACTAACCATGCTTTTCCATTCATGGACATATACCATATACCAAGATTAAGCCATGAAGAAATATTAATAATACCCAAATCAGACAAGGACACAACAGGAAAATAAAACTACAGAACAATATCCCTGATGTACAGAGATGCAAAAATCCTCAGTAAAATACTAGCAAACAGAATCCAACAACACATTAAAAAGACACATCATGATCAAGTGGGATTTATGCCAGGAAGGCAAGAATGTTTCCACATATGCAAACCAATAAATGTGATGTACACACACATTCTATGTACAAATACATAGAATGAAGGATAAAAGCATATGATCATCTCAGTAGATGCAGAAAAATCTTTTTTTGTTGTTTTGTTTTGCTTTGTTTTCTTGTTGTTTTTTTTTTTCAACATCCTTTCATGATAGAAACTCTCAACAATTTAGGCACAGAAGTGACATACTTCAACATAATAAAGGCCACATATAAGAAATTTATACCTACCACCCTAATGAATAAGGAAAAAGTTGGAAGTCTTCTAAGAACTGGGACAAGACATGGATGCTCACACTCATCACTCTTATTCAACACATTATGGCATTCCTAGACACAGAAATCAAGCAAGAGAAATAAATATAAGTCACCCACAGTAGAACAGAAAAAGTCAAACTGTCTCTCTTTGCAGATGACATGCTCTTACATATTAAAGATATATTTTAAAATCCATCAAAAAACTGTTAGAATGGTAAATCCAGTAAAGTTCAGTATACACAGTCAAGATACAAAAATTAGCATTTTATACACCAATAATGAACCAGATGGAAAAGAAATGAAGTAATCCCATTTACAATATAATTTCCTAGGAAATTGCCTACAAAAATATATCTAGGAATTAATTTAACCAGGAGGTGAAAGACTTATACAACAAAAACCCAAAAACACATTCATAAAAAAAAA